GCCGCGGGAGGATGGAGCAGCCTGGCCGCCGCTGCCGGGCTCCCTCGGGCCGGGCTCCACGCAGCCCCAGCCCCGCGCGGGATCGCATCGGGGGCGATGGTGGGGGAGCCCCCTCTGCTCGCACCCTGCCCGGTGTCCCCGTGGCCGGCTTAGCGGGCTGGCACTCCTCGCCGTGGCGTGCGAGGAGGGTCTGAGACTTTGCAGTCACCTGCTTTGGGACACGGCAGCGTTACGGCACCCGGCGCTGCTCGCTGCTGGGCGCCCTGTTCCCCTGCCTACCCGGGTGCGACCCAGAGCTGCGCGGGACACTTATCTCCCCACTTATTATTATTTTTTTCGACTTATAACTGCAGATGAAAGTTTAAATGTGCTGGGCTCTACCTTGAAAAGCCCCTTGAGGGCATGGGTGTCCTCCTGTGGTGGCCAAGTGGCCTGGAGGGGGCTGTGCTGCCCACCTCCCCGTGCTGGAGAATCAGGCTGGTCCTTTGACATGGGAAGGGTGAAGGTGCGTAGGTGACAACCCAGCCATCTATCCTGGGTTTTCCTGGCATAGCTCATTTGCTTCTCCACTTGGGAAGGGCAAAGCCCAGTTTGCCTGCACCCCTGAGCTGCCTGTAGGCAGGTGGGAGTGCAGGCAGGACTGGGCTGCGAGATGCTCTGGGTGGAAGAGGAGGTGCTGAGAATTTCCCAAAAGCGTCGAGGGCTTGAACGCTGCTACGCAGTGCTAGTCTGCCCTCCTAGGCAGGGCTGCTCATGTCTGTTTACTTTTTCACAGCCTGCAGTGGGTCCTAGGTGGGATGTGGGATGTGGGATGGGGAGGGTACGGTCCTGTAGACTGCATTGGCTCAAGGGACATCTCTGGGTGCCTGGAGCAGGATTTGGGGTGCATCTCCTTTCCTTTGTGGCGTAACTAGTGGGGACTGGCCATGGTATATGTGCTTGCCATGCAAAGGGATGATGTCCTGCAGGAGTTTTGCTGTGCACTGGACAGAAAATGCAGTTCCAGCTGCCTTCACAAGTTTTTAAGATATTGTGCTGTCTGCAGAGAGCGCTAAAGGTATTTTTTTAGGAGTACAGAGTGGCTTTATTTAGTTTGTGTGGTGGGTTCCTCCCCACACCTCCCAGCTAATCTGGGTGGGAATCGGAGCTCGGGTTACAGCAGCTAATCCCAGACTATAGAGATCCCGGCTGTAATCTCTGAATATAGCCGTCCTCCCCAGCAGGGCTTTGAGCCTGGGAGGCCATATCGGTTTCATGTTTTTATTACCGTGCTGGGGATGCGAAAGTGCACAGGCATGTGGGCGGCCCCGGACAGATGGATGCACGTGCATGCTGCAGACCTGTTCTTGGAGTGGAGGCAGACTGAGATTGGGGCTGAGCATCGTTTTCATTCAGTAAGATCCCCAGGGTGGTTGTGAGTGAGCAGCTGGGGTGGTGGTGCCCTCTCCTAGCTGCTCTCCTCGGCTGGTGGCTGTGGAATCCCCAGCATTGGTGTGACCCCCAGCTTCAAGGGCTTTCTGCTGCCCTGTTGCTGCCTCCCTGCTTGCCCTCACTGCCTCTCTGTCGGCACTGGTGATCTGACATCCTGCAGCCAGGTCTGAGTTTCTTCTCTGTTATGGGATGTGCTGGAGGCTTGGCAGTGGGTGGTCACAGCCCCATCCTGGAGCTTGGTTTGAGTTGGGGCCTTGACATGTGAAATGAGCCCACTCGCATTGTTAGACCATGTGCCTTCCCAGAAGATGCCCAGGCCCACCCGTGCTACTCCTGTGGGACATTACAAGCTTAGCCTGGTGTCCCTCCTAATCTGCTTACCTTGCTGTACACAAATACCAACAGGAGGTGGTGGCCCATGGCACGGGTTTGGGAGTTTTGTGGCTCTAGGGAGGTTGCTTTGGCATCTTGAGATACAGGGGCTTAGGGATGGTGCTGCTTCTCCCTGCGCTTGAGAGGCCTTGAAAAGCGTTTGTGCTGGGGACACAGCGGTAGTGGTGGGACCCTGGATGAGGTCTAGCAGGAGACCCGTCCCTCTCTCCCACTTCAGCCCTGGGCTGAAGCGAGCATCCCAGGGAGCTGTGCCTGGGCAGTGCACATCCCTGCTGCCTGCACCAGACGGGTGGTACAGGCAGCTTGAGGGTGGCCTGCATCTCTGTGGGGGCAGGATCAGCCCTTCTGCCCTGCGTAGACAGGGGTTAAATCACCCTCTGCTCTCCTGAGCTCAAGAGGGGGAGTTGTGTAACCCAAGACAGAAAGCTGCTACTGTCTCAGCTCTGTCTTTAGCCAGCATTTTAGCAAAATCCATGTTTAATTTTGTTTGAATCTCAACTCTGTCTTTCAGCAGGCCGGCAGAATGAAAGCCTGGAAGGCTGCATAGGTTTGAAGCGATAGGCTAGATCTCTTCACGGGGCTGATCTGGGCCCAGTTTGTGGAGAGATTTGATCTCCTCTGGATGTGTGCACGGCCCCCCTCATTGTTAGTGCCACAGGCATCCCCTCTGCTGGGACAATAGTTCCCTGGGTTCTCCACAGTAATCTCCCCTCTTATCTCCCTTCTCTTCCGTAGCCTGTGTCCCTGGGAGGGTGGGAGGTTTGGAAAGAGCCAATTATGCGGATGGAGGAGTGAGAGGTGCTGTGTCAACTGACATCCCTTTTCAGGTAGTGGAGTGAGAAGAGGGTGCTCAGCACAGGAGCGTGTCCGAGCTCTTTCCTGCTCCCAGTCCCCTCTGCACTCCCATAAGCACTGCCAAGAGGTCCTTTGGTGGTGCAGAGGATGTTCAGAGATATGGGTGGCCATGCGAGTCGTTTGCCCCCTTGCTCTCTCTGGCCACTTGCTTGTGCCAGCATTGCCCCCAGGACCAGGGTGGCATCAGGGGGTACTGCTAGTTGCAGGGGCCAGGGATGTGGGAAAGAACGAGGTGGCCATCATTCAGGATTCTGGAAGCGTCCATGGTGGGGGACTACGGGTGGGCGGGCTGGCTGACCTGATGCTCCGTGTCAAGGGAAGCTATGGTGGCATGAGATGGGGTCCATCCCTTGGCAACCCACCTCTCTATCTTTATTTTGGCATACCTCAAACTGGAGCCTGCAGACACCGTGATCCAAAACTTGCTTGGCTGAAGTGTGGTGGTCACAGGCCAAGGCAGCCAGCTGCTGCTGTGGGTGGTACTGTTGACCCTATGGGATGGGAGGGTCTCAGCAGGGGAGGCAGCATTTTTACGCTGCTCCAAAAGCACAACAGTAATTAGCAGCCCAGCTTCAGATTTTGCGTAAGCCATGTGGGTCTGCTGCGGCCTTTCTTTCTGCTGGTGAGGAAGTTAAGAGGAGCCCCTTGCTTTGTCCGCTGCCTGCTGATGGAAGAAGGCGGTGAAGAGGCAAGAAAAGTAGATGTAGAAAAGCAAAAGGGTGGGGAGGAAGCAGTTGTTGTGGAGCCAGCTGTGATGGGGAGAGTGTTTTGTAAATCACAGCAGCTCTCCTAAAAAGAAAACTTAAGCCCAGCAGATCTACTCAGTGGTCAAGCTCTGACTTCTTTTCTCTTTTCTCAAAGCGACGTGATAATTGTTAAACACAGGGGATGCTTTGTAAAATAGAATTCAAGGAAAGGGGGGAGGATAGAACAGGATTTAAATTTAAAATTGGACGAGGGTACAAAGCCCTTAGTTCCCTATTTCTGCTTGATGCAGCTGGAGCTGGGCTTGACAAGATCCTGACCAGAGCCTGTGGTAAATGTTTTACGGTACTGTGTATCAGCCAGATCAATTCTACTACACTTGAGGGAGTGCAGATAAAATGGCTTAAAGATTGCCCCGCTGAAAACGATAGTATCATCATTTATGCTGGAGAAGACAGATTTAGTCGCCTGACATTTATTTGGCCATGGTGTACTTTGTGGATTTCACACCCGGGGACGATAGCCAACCTGATGATGTCAGATGTGAGCTGCAAGGAAAAAAAAAAAATCACACAAAAAAACCTAGTGCTGTTTCTTTTTTGTTGACCAGATGAGTTTTGCTATGTGTCTGTTTTGATTGTTTTACTCCACGGTTCTCTTTACTGGAAAGTGCCTTACAAGAGTAGGATGTTACTAAAACAGCATGTCCTCCTGCACGTGCTTTGTGGTGTGAAGGTCGCAGCAGAAATATCTCTGTTAACTTAGGTTGTTTCTGTTGATTCTATTTTCCCTATAGGTCACTTGAACTCCAAACGGAGCGAACATGAGTGCACTTGATTTGACTTCCATCCTCGATTTTCTGGAAACAGCCAACTTGACGGAGATCAACTGGACGTGCAACAACGGTGACTGCATCACAGTTGATGCGACAACATGCCCTGGCACGCTCAACAAAAGTGCCCTGCTATACACCCTGTCCTTCTTCTACATCTTCATCTTCGTCATAGGGCTGGTGGCCAACTCCGTTGTTGTGTGGGTCAACCTCCAAGCCAAAATGACTGGCTATGAAACCCACCTCTACATCTTTAATTTGGCTATTGCCGATCTGTGTGTTGTTATCACCCTTCCCGTGTGGGTCGTCTCCCTTGTCCAGCATAACCAGTGGCACATGGGAGAAATCACGTGCAAGATAACTCACCTTATATTTTCCATCAACTTGTATGGCAGCATCTTCTTTCTGGCATGCATGAGTGTGGACCGCTACCTCTCAGTTGCCTATTTCACCAATTCCAGCAATCGCAAGAAGAAGATAATCCGTCGCTGCATCTGCATCTTAGTGTGGCTTCTTGCCTTCTCTGCATCTCTCCCAGACACCTATTATCTCAAGACGGTCTCTTCCAACAATGAAACCTATTGCCGTCCCGTCTATCCAGAGGAGAGTTTCAAAGAGTGGTTGATTGGCATGGAGCTTATCTCTGTCGTGCTGGGCTTTCTTATCCCTTTTCCAATCATTGCTCTCTTTTATTTCCTCCTTGCGAAGACCATCTCCTCCTCCAGTGACCAAGAGAGGAAAAGCAATGGGAAGATCATTTTCTCCTACGTTGTTGTGTTTCTCGTCTGCTGGCTACCCTACCATGTAGCTGTCCTGCTTGACATCTTCTATAGCCTTCATTTCATACCTTTCAGTTGTCAGATGGAGAACTTTTTATATGCTACTCTTCACATCACTCAGTGTTTCTCTCTAGTCCATTGCTGCGTCAACCCCATTCTGTACAGCTTCATTAACCGCAACTACAGATATGAGCTCATGAAGGCCTTTATTTTCAAGTACTCTGCCAAAACTGGTCTCACTAAACTTATCGATGCTTCCAGAGTGTCAGAAGCAGAATACTCTGCTCTGGAGCAAAATGCCAAATAACTGCAACCCCATAAAGAAACCTTCCTGACTCTCTGACCTTTGTTTTTTGTGTGTTGGTGTGTTGTGTTTTTTTTTTTTTTTTTACCCCTCCTTTCCCTGTGCTTCTTATGAACGGGGCATGAATTCAAGCCTACAAAAAAGAAATAGCAAACTGTAATTTAAGAGTAGAATCAGGTGCAAAATGGAAGTGGTACCAAAATTAAGCCTTTTGTTGCTGTGTTTTGTTTGATCTCCTCCTAGCCCAGTCTGGACTTCTTGACAATGCTATGCAAACGGAAATGACTTTCTAGCAGACAAAAAGCCATTGCGTACCATAGATAACATGCATTTCCAGCATAAGCTTTTTCTTCCATGTGTAGATTCCCTCTTGTCTCCTTGTATATGTTATATATAGTGTGTGTTGTATTTAAAAGCTCAAGACTTTATTTTCTGGCTCTTGGTGTACCTTATACAATTGTATTTGAAAGTTAAATATATTTTTATCTTGTATTTGAAGTATATTGCTGATGAGTGTATCCAGAGTGCTGTATTCTGAGTGTTAGATTGCCATTTGGCTTAAACTATCGTAGATAAGAGGATGACGATAAATAGCAGAATGGAAATGATCTCTTAGGTGCATCCTCCCTGGCTGGCACACTTTATTGACCATGGCTTTATGTGGTGGTCATACTCACGTGTCTGGAGCATGAAATGTATGTACTGTAATATAGTTACCATCATGTTAAAATTAACAATATTGTAAGAGTTGTTAACTCCTACACCCGTACTTCACAAAGCTGTATCCTTATGCACAGAATGAATGATCTTGCTTCTGAGAGTTGTCTCTATTTGTAAGTTATTTTTGTAAAATAAAGATCCGGGGGAAAAAAAAATCTACACCTACCAGTGGTTTGACTTGCCGCCATCCTCCTCAGGGGAAAAAAACCAAAAGCCAAAAAGAAGAAATCCCAAAGCCACCTTCTCTCCTTAGTTTGGTGCAGAAGCAAACAGGTCAGTCGGTATTTTCCTGATGTTTGTTGACGGTGGGCAGAAACCATTGAATGGAGGAATGTGAGACAGCACTGATGCGTGGTGAGAGGGGAGGGGGTGGGAGGATTGGTTCTGCGGCAGGCTGTGCTGTTCGGGAAGGTAAAGCTGATGGATTTATGAGGTGAAAGCTGTTGGGAGTGATGAAAGGCTATGTCTGTAGCTTAGGAACAAACACGTGGAAGGAAAATATGGAAGTATGCAGATGGAGCGGGTATTTGGACTAATCCAGGTTCAGTCCTCTGCCTTTTTTGCTTACAATGGAATTTGGGGGTTAGCAGTCCTGACAGCATTAAATCCCTTTTTATCTGTTCTTCTCTTTGTTATGGCTTGTGTTGAATTTGCAATGCTGTATTGCCACAGTGTGGGGCAAGATTCAGCCGCCGCAGGATGTATGAAGTAGATCTTCCTTGAGCCAATGAAGCACTTGAATTGTGGTTGTCTTTGTCTCAGGGCAAGGTAACTAATGTTAAATTAATGATGTCTCACAATCATTGCTGACTTGCTGTTGCTGTTCTGTGTGTTTTGCAACTCCAGTGCAGTGCTAACTGTTTTGCTGTGAAGACTACACTTAAACTCCTGTTAAATCAAAGCATGCCCTCATCCCTCTGAGATCCCAACAGCCTAACAATTTTGTAATGACTGTATTTTGTTTCTTTCTACGTGTTACATTCCTGCATTCTCAAAGATAATCCTGTAAAAATAGATGTTTGCCAACACTGCAAGGTCTACCATCCCCTCCTTGTACCTTGGTGTTTCTGAAAAAGCAGTGGTACATCCCCAAATGGAGGAGCCAGTTGCAGAGAAGGGCTGCCACCATCATGGTAAGAACGTTGCTACAGAAGTACAGCCTTTTGTGTGGACACTTCTTATTAAGAGATTAGTATTTTGAGATTCCCATAAGCCTTTCTTAAGGTACTGCTGAACTGCAAGGAAAGTGCTCCCTCATACTGGTGGTTAAAATTGGATGTGGTGTGTCAATATGGAGAAATTGATGTTCCTGATTTAGCTGGGCGTTGCTTGACATGCCCCAGCATCCAGATGTGCAGCTGTGTGTCCTCACCAAAGGTACAGTGCTCTGGAATCCCACTCCCATGTCCCTGCAGGGTATTTCTCAGTTTACAGTAGCGTAACTATTTCAGTTCAGGTCCTGCCTCAGGCAGTATGATGTTTTCCTGCAATGCTGTAGCTGGTTTGAAGGTTTGAGTTGGTAGAAGCTCAAAAAATTTTTTTTTTTTGGTCTCTCTGCAGTTTGGTATTTGCAGTACGGCGTCAGCCTTGGAGATATCGTGGGTGGTACCAAGTGTCAGGGAGGACTTGCAGACCTGCTGTGTAGACCAGAGTGATAAAGTCTCCAGGCCTTCTCCTTCAGGAGGTGAATTGTGGTGGGATGATGTCTTTTCCAAAATCAGGGAGAGAGCAGGTAAAGGGCATGACTGTGACCCTTGCTTTCAACAGCTGTAGCATTGCATGCGTGTGTCCTTTCCAGTTCCGTGTCCTTTCCAGTTCCTTGGGTGGTCTGAGCACCCACCATGTCTCCTTGGCCCCTGAAAAGGACAGGTGGAGCTGGAAGGCAGCATCCTCCCTCGGCAGCAGCACTGGGGCTTGGGAATGGTGCACAAGGTCTTCTCTGTGGATCAGCACTACTTGTATGGCGGTGGGTGGCCCCGAGGTGGCTGTGACTCCAGGGGAAGGGTGGTAGTGGGCAGATGATGGGAAACTGGTGGAAGGCAAGACAGTGCAGAGGGACAGAAGGACATTGTTTGTTGTTGCATGTTTCTCATTAGGACTTGTTTTCGTGCAGAAAATTCTCAAAAATCAAACTGTGGCAGAAGTGTAATAGGAAAAAACATATGTATGTGTTCTAGGAGGCTTTTTTCATGGCTGTGTGTGACACGCTGCCTCAGCTGGTATTTGCACTGAGACCAAAAATGTGGGTTTGGGCCCCTTTGGGTCTGGTGAGGGAATTTATTAGCGGATAACAGGTGAGTGAAAATACATGTCCTCAGGTAGATGTGACTGTGACTTACAGTGATTGATGTGATAGGTGCTGTCACCTTCTTTGGCCAAATGTCCCAACCCTGGAGCTGGGGGTGTTAGAAAGGGTCCCTGCTGCTTCCCGCTGCAGGGCTGTGGCTTTGGGGCAGGGCAAGTGGGCTGGCTGCCTGTGCCCGGGGATCTCCCCTGTTCCTCTGACAGCTACAAGTGTGCATAGACGTTTGGGTCCTCCCTTTGCAAGGAGGTCAAATTCGCTACATAAAGGCCTCGGTGGAAAAATGAGTAAAAATCGAACATAGTCCATGTTGGAGCAAGTCCTCCTGCTTAACTCTTGGGCTTTATGGCTGAAAGCATCCCAGTGCTGTCAGATTCCACGTGCCTCGGAGGCAGGCACTGAGCAAATAAAAATACATCTGCTCCCCGAGAAAGGTTTTATTTATTAATATAGAAAGCACAGTTTTGCTTTATTGTTACTTAAACACAGATTTCCTTTTATGAGCCATAAACGACATTCAGGTGTAGCACAGTGACTTTAAATCAGCTCCTCTGGCAACCATCTAGATAATGTATTGTAAGAAATGCCTAACTGGCCTGTTTCTCCTTTGGCTAATTCATCGTTTCAATGCTGCTGACTTTAGATACTAGCCTTTCATGAGTTCACTGAGCATAAAAGCCATTTAAAGTTCCTAAGAAGCAAGAAATAACTCATCTGTGAGCAATATTTAGGCACGTGGCAGCAGCAGCGCTGCCAAAGCCAGCTCTTAATCTGTTTCAGAGAGTTTCTCGATGAGAAGAGTGGGCCTGGTACTTTGAGAAGTGGGGCTCAGCACCTCTGATGGGTTGTGGGGCGGAGCAGGGCATGATGCAACGGGGATGGGTTTTGGGGGGAATGGATGTATAACAGAGCCCAGGGTTTGCTTTTAGCCTCCCTGCTCCAATACGGTATGTGGCTGAAGAGCATCTGAGCCAGAGTCTGCTCTGATTTGCACCCCAGATTTACAGTAGGATAATGCTGCTGATTTAAAGAGAGCTATCCAGGATTTAAAGGGCTTTTTATAAGTAGGATGAGGAATTTTAGCTATAATCCTGTGCAAATGTATGGGTGTGAGTGCAGATGTGCGTATCTGCATTACTAATGCAATGTAATACCCATGTACAGCCATAACGCAAAAACGTAATAATAGCAACACAACAGATAATAATGATGTGAGTTTGCTTTTGCAAAAGTACTTGCATTACAGGGTTATAATATGATTCAAACCAGGCTTGCAAAGATCCTGTGATGGATAATCCAGCTGTAACCCTAAAGCATGTGGCTGACTCTTCTAACACCCACTGTCACGAGAAAAATCAGTCTCCTTCCATTTTGGTAGTTGCTGTTGGAAAACAGTTCACTTTTTTCTTGTAGGTTTTGATCTACTGGTTTTCTGGGATTATATGGAATAAGTGCAAGGCCTCAGCTAAAGGTCTTGATCCTGGAAATTTTATAACTTCACAGTACCAAAGAGATACCAGTATCCCAGTGATGCAATAAATCCAGGGAGACCACTCAGTCCTACAGCTAAAATATTTCAGGTTCAATTCCCACCTCAAAGCCTGGGTTCTAAGTCTTGAGATTGCCTCCCAGGGCCTTTTAGTATCTTTTAACAAGATGCAAAGCTGGTGCTGGAATAGAAAATAAGATTACATGCAGTTGCTACCCATGGCCAGGAAAAAAATGAAAGAATTGGATAAGTCAGGGATAAACTAGGGATGAACTATTCTTCTCTGGAGGGATCCCACAGTGAGCTCTTTCCACCCAAGAGCAGGAGCCCGGCAGAAGTTGGTCTGCTGTGGGGTTTACCCCACAAGTACTTCTGTTCTCACAACATCATGATAGAGGAACAGCTCACTGGAGGCAGGTTTTAATGCTCTCCCTCTTATACCTTGCTCAAAAAGCAACCATACCATGGCACTGGAGTAGGATGCTCTTCAGC